AATTTTTTAGGGTTGGTTGTATGTTTTTTCAGTCAAACTGCAGTGTCAGCTTTAAGTCTTACCTAAAAGTTTTATGTTAAATTTTAATAGTTATTTCTGATTCTCATCTTAGGATGCTCTAATGGGTTACATCCTGCAGTCTAACACTGTCCTGCTGCAAGACCCGGATTTTCTTCCCCGTGTAAAAGTTTGTCAAGAAGTGACGAAGAAGCTACAGGATAAGATGAAGCAGCTGAGGGAGCAGCTGGAGCACCATGAGTCCCTGCTGGCAGTGCCTCGCCACTTCGTGAGGCTGGGTGCCGCTCTCTACCAGACCCTGCAGGCTGTGTCCAGTCTTTCCCCTGCCTATTATTTCTCCCTACATGGCTTCATCACTGTGATGCAAGAAGCTTTCACTGGGAAGGACAGGATAATAGGGAAAGTTCCAGGGAGCATAATACAAGAGTTGATAAACACGATGGTAGTCAAAGTGCTGGTACAATACAGGCCTTGTCTTTTCAAGACCCATGCTGCTGTTCTGAAGCTGCTTGTGTCTTTGGCCTTGCTCCAGCACAATCAGCTGTGCTCTGAGGGTGAGAGGTTGGCCTTCCTCATAGGCCTTGGAGACACACAGCATCCTGGGACTGATTCATCATCCTCCATCGCTGATCTTCCCAGCTGGATTTCCCCACTTATCCACTCAGAGCTACTTCACTTGGAAAAGATTCCTTCATTCAGAGGCCTAATTGCCTCACTCTGTGCTTCCCCGAAGCAATGGCAGGAGTACCTTCACTTTCCTTCCACTACAGTGTTAGGGCCCGTTCCCTGTTGTTCTCACCGCCATCTCTCTTTGCTGCAGCGGGCTCTCCTCTGGAAGACCATGATCCCCGACTGCCTGGAGGGACTAGCAGATGCCATAAATGCCTGTCAACTCTGCCTGCCTCAAAAGAAAACAGAGACTGAAGCCCCTCTCATTGGGAACCCAGAGGCATTCTCATTATATTTGGTCAAACATAAGGAGCCCATCATTCTTACATTGCCCAATCCAAATAGAGATATGCAGATAAGCATTGAGCCTCTTTGTTTAATAAACCAGTTGGCCAAATGTGTACCAGGAAAAAAAGAGGTGACAGCACAGTTTTTTCTGCCATTATAGAGTTACTCCTGTAATACAGTGCTTGATGCATTTCTTCCTATGCTTTAGGTTCAGGTGAAAGTCCTTTCCTTTTGGGCTCTCTGTGACAGAAATCTCTTCCTTTCAATGCTGGACAAAGCTGCTAATGACGGCCACTGGTTGGTGTTTAACAACAGTCATCTGTTAGAACAACTGGATGATGTCGTAGTGGCTAAACTCAGTCATTTAATCTCCTCAGTCAAAGGTAGGGGGTAAATCAAAATCAGTTTAAATTTATTTATAGAACTTGTCCAGTCTTTATGTTTGTGGATTCTTCTGCCTACTTATGTGCCTCATCCTATTATACAGAGAAACCTTGTCTGATTCACCCCAGCTTCCGATTGTGGTTTATAACTGAAGAAAACACATCACACCTCATACCAGGTAGATCTATTATGTTGCTGCTTTTTCAAATATTCATTTCCATCTGTTCTATTTTACTCTAAATGTGACCCTAATTTATGAAATGAAGATCTTGTTGTACTGAAGCATACTTCTGTATAACTGTCATCTTGACAGTGAACAACTATTAAAAGTAGCATCACTGTTGGTCCATTCATCTTGAAGATTCAAATGTAACTCTGTACTTTAGTACACTTTCAACCTTTTACAGTGTAAGGAGAGCTATTTTTCACAGGTATATGTGAAAGATTCCTAAAGTGAAGCTTTTGCATAGACCATGTTATGGTTTGTTTTTAGTGACAGAGTGCTTTATGTAGGTCAGCAGTGACCAAAGGTGCACTTACACATTTTGTTTCTCCTATGCTCCTGTGAGTTATATTGGCTGGCGTGCTGGAAATGTGTGTTATAAATGTGCTTTCAGAAAAACAGCTACTCCAGTTTTGCTCTTGTTGTAATAATCATAATGATTGAAATGACTGTCTTTATTTTTAAACAGCGTCAGTGCGAATGTGTGCTCTGCATCTGGTCTGTGACTCTTCCTGGGATGTGAAGGAGGAGCTGAGCTGTTCTTTGCGACAAGTGGCATCCATCAGTCAGCCACAGTCGGGTGTCATGGCTGACAACAAGTCACTCCTCCGCTGCGCTATCTTTCACTCTGTCTTGGTGCAGCGACAGACCTACAAGTATTTAGGCCAGGGCAGAATCTATCACTGGTAAGGAAGTAAATATGCATTGTATAAATTGTTTATGATGGAGAGGTAGAGGTGTTGTATGATGTTTAAAGATTTATAATCTAAATAAATGAATACATTTTTTTCTTGCTTTTTTGAAGGAGTCAGGAGGACCTTCATGCTTTAGTGGATGCATATATTCATGTTGCCCATCTGTGCCATTACAAGACTAAGGTTTTGCAATATTTAGCAGGTGAAGCAATATGAAAATATAAAACACCCTAATTCAGTTACTGCTCGATTAATTAACTTTTGCTTTCCATTCGTAGTCAGTCTAGTGTATGGTGGCCATGTGACAGACTCTGCAGATTTGGAGGTGTTGGAGGACATTGCCAAGACCTGCTTCAATACAGCTTCACGTCACTTGAACAGCGGACCGCACATTCTTTCGAAACTTGTCAGAAGTTCTGGTCACTCTGGTAACTGAACATTTTTCTACCAATTTAACTAACATTCACTGTTGACGAGAAATGGTTCATTTTTTTCTTTAAAGCTCTCAGAGCACTGGTGCATCAATACTGCACCAAAATGAGACTGAATTCCGGACTTAGAGCTGGTGTGTGTGTGTTTTTTGTGTGTGTGAGAATGCTTTTCTGTTGGCTGCTCTGTGTAAAATAGATTTGGGATGTTTTATGCCCTCAGATTTGTCTGGACAGCTGCAGGTTGTGGAGCAGGGTCTCTGGGAATCAGCAAACATCAGCGAGCCCGTGGTGCTGGGCTTTAATGCCGACATAACGACTGAGATAATCAAGATCAACAGCTACAACATGACCATGTTACTGCGGACCTCGCAAACTCCCCTTCGATCAGTAAGGCGTTTTAGCAGCAAAGAAAAGCGGCTTGCTACGCTGCCAGCGTTCAATGATGCCAGAGTCAGACTGGAGGGTCTGAAGCGCTACCTCACAAGCAAGAATGAAAGTGCAGTAACAAATGCAGGAGCTCTTCCTCGCGGGCCTGTGCGTGACTTCCTCCAGGCTGAGTGGGATGATCTCATTGACTCGGTGTCCTTGCTCCTCTCACAGCTGCAGCAGCCTGTTCAGTATTCGCTGACCTTCGCTTCCCTCCTCAAGCTCACTGACTTGTCTGTCTTGGAGAGGAGGGCAGAGTTGGTCAGTGCATATCTGTGGCACCATGATGCTTCAGATCCACCTGGTGCTTATCGACTATCTGCTTTTAAAAACGCCAGAGGCCTGCTGGTGGCAGTGATGAGAGAGGCTGCTCAAGTAAATCGTAAATATATCACTGATATAATTCTACAGTTCCAGGTAAAGCATTCAAATAAAATTATAGTAAACACTTATTTCCTTACCACTAAACATGTTAGTAAGGATAATAAGCTCTGATGTTCTTGTCCACACAGGTTCTGTCTTACAGCACACACCCCGTCTCACTTCCTGTGGATGCTGTGTATTTGTGTGGCCTGGAACTTAAAGGGGCATCATGGGATACACAACTGCAAGTCCTACAGGACACTGTCTCTCCTCAGTCTTGCTCAGTACCACTTCTTTGTGTTAAAGCTCAAGTGAGGAGCACGAACAGTTCCCATGATACAGCCCCCTGTAAAAGTTCATATTTAATGGATAACAGGAATGTTCACTGTGCAGCCGTCGTTCCCTTAACTACCCCTCAGGTACCAATCTACCACTGCCCACTCTATCTGGACGAAGGGTTGGAGAGTGGAAGCTCAGGACTGGCTGATGTTAGCATTATCACAAAAGTTCCCCTTCATACCAAGCTAGATCCTCTTCTGTGTAGTTTGAGAAGGGTGAGACTAGTGAGTAGACTCTGACTGTACTCAGCTGCCTTATCTGCTGTGATTGTTAAATGAACTGATGCAAAGACTGTAGTTTACAGTATGTCATGAGGACTGATGCTCCTGTGATTTTATGTGAACCTTCAAATAAATTTATAAATCCACTTTCATGTCTCTTTATTCTTGTTCTGAAAAAAAGAAAGAATTTAACAAACTTTTATAAAGTGATTATTTCAGTTCCACACTGTCTTCTCTTCTTTTGGATGACATTCCCTAAAATAGTTGAAAGTACTTTTCTGAATAAAATGTGACTCAATCTGTAGGTGGCAGATGCACAAAAGTACACACAGTAGCCGTAAGCATAAAGATGTTTATGCCAGAATATTTATATTTATGCAACATGTAAAATGTTTCAGGTTTGGTTACCGATTACTAAGCAAATCCTTTGTTTTACTTTCTCTCTTTAGGTAACATGGACAGGCACCACTATGAAACATTTGAGAAATTTGGCAATAATACTTTTCTGCTACACCTTGACAACGGGAGGGCGTGAGTATTTCTGTTCTGTATGTGTTGCTCATATACTGGGCAGAGGTGCTGGTCAGACTGTAACTTTGACATAGCTGACTCTGGATCTGTCCTCTTTTGCAGATTTGGGCGTCACTCCAAAGATGAGCCTTCGATCTTAACTCCCTTAAAACAGTGCTGCAGGTACAAACCAGACTATCACATACATGTAGTGAATTACTTACACATCAGGTTAATATTATGTTCAGTTTTATCTACATAGCACCAAATCATGACAGCTTTCACCTCATGGTGCTTTATATTGTAAGGATAAAGACTCTACAGTAATAGATTTACAATCAAAACAACCCCTTATGAGCAAGCATTGGCAACAGTGGGGAGGAAAAACTCCCTTTTAACAGGAAGAAACCTCCAGCAGAACCAGGCTCAGGGATGGGCAGCCAGCTCTCGTGGATGGTTGGGGTTGAATGGAGGGAGACAGAAGTTCCTTGGCTTAGTTCAGAAAGTGTGAGAGAACAATCACATTGCACCTTAACCATCAGATGCTGTTCCTCTTTCTCTTTCTTCATCCTATTCTCTTACCCAGTCATTTGGCAATTTTGAAGCATCCCAAAGTAACTTCCGTTTTCCATTTATCTTCTTTTTTAAAATCGTTGCTGTCTCTCCAGAATCCGTCGCTCCACTTGGCTACGCCTGGGTCTCCTTACTTTGCCTCAGTATCGATTAAGCGATGTTATGAGAGCGTCACTTTCTCGTGATCCCCTTCACAAGGTGGCCCCACTTCTGGCAGAGCCCCACCTTACGGCTTTAGATCGACGTTTGAAAACTGTCCTAGGAACTGTAAGTCGCTGTCAAAAGGAGCAGAAAAGAAATGACAACGGTGAAGACGTCTTCTATGAGGACACGGCCTCTCTGAAAGACGTGGCCACTCCCTCTGGTTAGAGCAGTCTCACTTACCTGTCACATTATATCTGTTTATTTTCATACTTCTGCAACATGATGCAGGAGTTCAGAGTTATAAAATATCATTTATAGGAGCTATATAATTTTAAAACTCACTTTGATTAGTAACTGTCAGACACATGATGATAAACCATTAACACAATGTAATGCAGTAGTATTGTCATAAATAGGATAACATTTTTCGGGGGCTAGCTAGTCAGTTCCCTGCAATATTATGTGTCCTTCTGCTCTGTGGGCCTGCCTGGTACTGGCTCTTTTTCTATGTGTGTTTTCAACACTTTTGGTACAAAGCACCTAATGAAAAGACTTTCGTGTATTTGGTTTAGTGCAGCTATAGCATTAAGTACACCAAACAGTGACTCTGAGTGAATCTGAGCTTTAATTCAAGGTTTCGTCTACATTTAATGTTTTTTCTGTTTTTCTGGTTCTTAACTTGAAGGATCCTTGGTTTGTGTTAATAAAATGATTGCTAATAATTCCACTTGAAACTGTTTCAGCTTTATATAAAGAACTCACATGCACTGGCTGAAGATTCAGTGATGATTTAGTTTAGTTTTTTGAAAGGGAACTAACACGTTTCCTGGAATTCAGCAGACAAAGTCAAAACAGAAGAACTTAAAGAAAGTTCAGCTTATCAGATTGCATCCAAATGCAGACAAAATACACAAGAGAAGAATGTAAAGGTCATTTCATGAAGTAAAAAGTCACATGGGGCTGTGAAGAGTAGAGGGGAGCGACCGGAAAGCATAGCAGACGTAAACAGCAAACAGAAACCAGGACAGAATAATTGGAAAGAAGAGAAGAAACTTAAAACAAAGTCTAAAGTGGTATACTTTTTTCTCTCTCAAGATTCAAGATTCTTTATTTGTCACGTGCATGGTTATACATGTATAACACGCAGTGAAATGTGACCTGATACGCTCCTCGACTGTGCAAAGAAAAGAGAGACAGACAGAACTTTATATACAGTGAATGAGTATATACAAGGAGGACATTATATGCAGCAAGTGGGTGAGTTATGTACATTATATAAATGGAAATAAAATAAGATAAAACAATCCGGAAATTTACAGCTTGTGTACATTGCGTGAGGAGGGTGTTACTCATCGCTATAGCGATAATGAGTCCTGTCTCAGGCACTTAAGGATGATGGGGGTGATTCAACACACGAATGGCCTGAGGATAAAAACTCCTCTTGAGCCTCTCTGTTCTTGTTCGGATGGTGCGGAACCTTCTGCCTGATTTCAGAAGCTGGAACAGTTCTTTGCTGCTCACTCTCTTCTACTCTTCTACTTCCACACATAAATGTCCCCATAACATGAAAAATGTTTGCATTAAAACTTTGACTTCATTTTGTGAGCTAACTATATTTAAGTAATTTGTACCTTTTTAACACGGATGTTTGTTTCTCGTCAGTCAAACAAACTGTGGCAGGATTTTCCCTCAGGTGTGAGGATACGTCACGGATGGTTAGGCAGCTGGCTGTCCTCCTTCTCCTTTCCTTTCAGGGCTCCAATCAATAATTTACCTTGCTCAGCCGTATCGATGTCAGCTACTCCCTTACCTCTTCTCTTACCCTTGCTCACTTGCTCTTTCCAGAAAAACTGCTGATGACATAAGGGTAAAAGAGCTCATTAACGAATGACTGAAAAAAGGGAGAGGGAACTGTCAGATAGGTGTTATTGGTCTTTGGGAAAACAGCAGAAGCAGTGGGAGGATAGGTGAAGGTGACTTTCACCGCCTTAAGACGCTGATATACACGGGACAGAGAGAGAGAGGCCTGAGTAAACTTCTGGGAATACAGACTTTTTACAGAAGTTTAGTTTTTTTCTGACCAGCTTTTTCTCATTTTATCGTTAAACCTGAAATCGATCAATATGTCTGGAGTCAGTAGTGATCAGCTGCACAAATCAACTTTAACTGTCTATTCGGTGAGTTTACATCATGTTTCTTTTGTTTTTGTTCATTGTGTTGAAACCTGGGGACCGGTATAGTATTCATTATTTAAAGAAGGATTTTGTATATTTAAACTAGGCCGGGGCGCACTTGGAGGTGAGTATAAAAATACATTTTAGCGTTACGCTTCAAGTCACTGCTGAGTTCACCTGGTGTGTTGCTCAGTTTGTATTTCGTGTGTTTCTGCAGAACTTGATGGAGCACTTCAACCCAGGCCTTCAGAAGCTCGTTGCTCTTGGAAACAGCTACATCAAGGCCTTTCAGGGTGAGCGAGGTTGTGAATGACTGAAAGGAGCAGTCACACTGTGGAGAATGTGGATTTTGTTGTTAGCACTAGTGTAGATGTTGGATCAGGATTGTACAGAGATGATTGAAGTAAAGTCTGCCCATGGAGACCCTAAGAAGGAGGCCATAAGCTGCATTTAAAATCCAAAAAATGTCACAGGATTGTAAATGTCTATCAAGGACCTACTCATTTGTAGAAGTTATTTGGTTGGGAAAAGAAATAAAGAGATGTGAATATGAAAATATGATTTGATAAAAAATAATCTCTATTTGATTGCTGACATTAAGCAGAATTTAAACCTTTTTTCTCCAGAGATGAGAGATTTTTTTTGTGTGCATCACCTTTTATTTGCTTGTCTGAGTTGTCCGACTTTTCCATTGTACATTTTTCCAATCTTAATCACGTGTGTCACATTGTTAGTGCAAGCAGCATGCATCATTCATGCATCTCTGTGCCTGATAAAACAATTCAGGCTATCAGCCACAGGGCAGTGGGGTAAAACTATACCAAGTGGCACGAGGCTATTCTTAGACCAGAATCACATATCAAATAACACTGCCAGTCTTTTAAGAGTAATGAATAAAAGCAGAACTGTTCGACACAATAAGAAGCAGTTTAAGTGGTTGTGATGTTACTGTAGAGTTTATAGATTTGTCAGTTTGATTTGTCTGAATGTGAAAAGCTACATTTGTCTCTCGATGTCTGTATGTTGCAGCCTTAGGCGTTTGCAGTGAGGCCTATTTCAGCGCTGTGGCTAAGATGGGCGACCAGGCACTTCACACACTTTCATCTCGCTCCCTTGGTACGAGTGTGTGTATTTGTGACTCATTACTAAACAGGTTTCACCCTTGATTTATTGCTTTCATTAGAGAAGCATCGTTATCAGTGCTCTACTGAGACACTGCACTTGCACAAACACAGTCTAGATTTTAAACCACACAAAGTAAATTTCAATTGTGCTCTCCTTCTTTTCATACATATACATATACGTGTGTGTGTGTGTGTGTATTTACAGATTTTTGTTTGCTAGTGTGTGTGCACTATATTTTATGGAAGCTTTCCCTTTGTCATTAGAGATGTGTGTTTTCATTCTTCAGTGGTAATTAGCTTTATGCTACTATTAAGATAGTGTTGGCTAGCATACATGTGGTTTTGGTAGGTTGGCTAACTGTGAAGGTCAGGGAACCACAGCGTGACCAGGAGCCCTATTGAGTGGCAGCCACTGAATTATAGATGAGGGCAGTCTTTCAGCTCCACTCAGTTTATTAGCTCAACCGCAATCCATGACAATAGACAAGGCGCCCACAGTATATAGGCTTGGCTAACTTTCCACCATCGTAGCAGCCGGACTCATTCATGGCTCAAGTGGTTTTATACTGTGTTAAAGTTTTAGATCAAATTACTGACATTCCCAATAAGATTTTGCTTTCTTCAAATATTTTTCCGTACAGAATTGTTTTTTTTTCTTCTTTGAACAGGGGATGTCCTGATCCAGATTTCAGAAACACAGAGGAGGCTCACTGCAGAGATGGAGGGAGTGGTTGGTACATTTCCTCAGTAAATGCTGATCCCTGCAGTGTTTAAAATACTACATAACACATTTCTACTTCTGTGAATTTAATTTTGTTTGTTTGAAAGTTTTTACCAAACTGAAAATCCTTGAAATAATGCTTGGTGGGTATTAAGCTATATTTGACAGAATAATAACCGCTATACATTATTTGTCAAATGATGAGTAAAAACAGCTACAATTAGTATTTTACTTCAATGTAACTTCCCCAGTTTGTCCTCAGATCTTTGAATTTGTGAGTTCAGCATTGATAGGATGCTGGTAAAAGCAGATTTCACTTCTTACAAACTTCTTCATCAAAGTTAGCTACATAAAGCCTCGAGGACACTAGTTTGTCCCTGTATGTTATTTTTCTTTTGACACTAAAACCCCTGTGCCTAATTGTGGTGTGAATAATCAAAGCATGGCCTTTGATTACAAAGTTAGCCTGAGGAAGGAGCACATTTGCATTTAGATTTAGTCAAACAGCGCAATGAACCTGATAATTAAAGCCTGTGTTTAAACAAGAGGACAGATGGTTCATCACTGTTCCAGTTGATTTCTTTCTTTCTGCTGCAGTTTCGATGGTTCCAGATAGAAGTGTTGCAAGCAATGGAGAAGAATATCAAGTTGGATGAGGAGTATATTGATGTGAGTGTAATGCATTGGAAAAGCTTACGTTTTTCTGCCTGTGAAATTAAGAAAACTTACTGGACTATTTTAGGTTTTTGGGTTTATGGTAAATAAACCAAACTTTAACAATCCTACAGTGCGACTATAATAGTTTTAAAATACTATTGCAATCATTCATTTATTTTTTATTTTATAATTAACAAAGTACATTTTAAGCTTCCAAGCTTTGTTTCGAGTCAGATCAGCTTGAAATCATCAATAATTAGTAGTTACCCTAAAACTGTCTTAAAGTTGGAACGGGTTAAAAACACAGATGAATAAAGTTTTAAACACACCCTGTAATCTGTGACAGGAACAGGCCATATTCTTCTCAAGATTTACTTTTAACAAATTTCCTATGTGTGGGACTAATAAGGTTCTCTTATCTTATCTTTAAAAATCACTCCACGTAATTTGTTTTGAGTGAAAATGGAGCTTCTGGTTCTTTTGTCAGCAATTTCGTCTTTGGACTTAATTAGAATAAGAAACAGAGGGGTGCTGCATTGCCAGCAGCACAAGCAGGTGAGAGAACAAAGATGGAGAGCGGTTGACCAGCACTAGGATAAACATGACCTGCTAAGCCTCTTACAATTTTAGTATAGTTTGCAAATAAACTTTCTTTGTGCTGCAGGGCAGTCGCAGAGTGTACGAGCTGGAAGTAAGAAACCAAGCAGAGGCTTTGGAGAAGCAGCTCAGACGGGGAACCTACAGAGACTCTTTGGTAGTTACACAAACATGCATAGAAAAATATTATGTGTTTACATTATGCACATTCATATTAATGCACACACAAACACACACACACACAGTCCAGTAATACACCTTGTGAGTGTATCATTGTAGGTGCATGCCCTCATGTTCATTGTTCCCTGTGCGTGCGGTTTTAGGAGAACAGTGAATACATGCTGTACCTGCGGCAGAGCCATCAGGAGATCTTAAAGGAGGAGGAGAGGAGGTATCGCTTCTTGGCAGAGAAACACTGTGGCCTCACTCAGTCACTGCTGTTCCTAATTAACAAGGTATTCATACACACTGGCCATCCTACACAGTAGAGTTGATTAACCCTGAGCAGCATCTGTGTGAGATTGAGGTAAAATGGTATTATTTTACTTTTGTCATAATTTATTCAGTACTAGTGCGCTCTTTGAGCTACAAGTGCACTTGTTGCTAAATGTAATGGTATAACTGGTCAGATCTGTTGATTCAAATGCAATGAAATCAGAAAAATCGAGTTTAAGCAGGAAAAATAAATGTTGTAAATCTGTCCTGGGAGATTACGCTGTCGGTGTGAAAAGCTCCATTAATAGGTGGGTCCCAAAAAAAATGTTTAACATATGAAATATTTTCACAAATTTTACGTGTTCAGTATGTAAAGGCCTTAAATCTTTTATTTTTAGGTGACATGATGATGGGTCAGTTTAGTCACCAGTAACCTTGTAACCTGCTGAAAGGCTAACTATTGCACATTACGTACTTTTTAAGGAAATACTCACTACAATCTGCTCTGCAAAACAAGGAACAAAAAACATGTTAGATATAATACAGAAATGCAAAATTTTGCTTAATTTATATTTTCTTTTACATTCATCAGAACAAAGCTGATGAATGTATTATTATGTAATACAAGTTTCCTTTGAAAGAAAACTTTTGCAGCCTTCAATATAGCCGATACACTGAATAATAACTAGTTTTCGTAACATTATGAATATATAATTACTGTCCTGACTGATAAGCTGCATTTCCCACTTCATGGTGGGATAGATAGATGGAGATGGAGCTTAGTATTCTGTGTATCAGCTACATCAGCTGCAATCCATCATGTTGTGAAGGGAAGGCCGACTGCAGCCATCAGCCATGAGCTTGGAGTGCTTTTGCCACCAAGACACTGAACTGCCCAGCCTTTTTATCCCAGTCATGTGGGACCTTGCCAATATCTTGTTCATCTGATGAAACTCACTTCTCAGTGTCATGTGTCTTATTTACTGAAGCAGTATGTCTTAGTCATGTTGCTGAATGATCAAATTGAGATGGAATGAGGCGCTCACCTCTCATGTGTTTTCAGACTGGTGCATCTCTCCAGCAGAAGGCAGACGGATGGAAGGAGAAAGTGAACGACACCAGAGTCTCCAGATCTCGAACACCCACCCATTCAGACCAAGAGGCACAGGTACCAGCACTTTATCAGGTTTACTCTTTTTTTTTAGCCAGTAGGAACATTACACATGAGTGCGCCATGCACTATAAAACAAGGTACAGTGGCTGTGGTTTCTCAGCGAAATACTGCACACTCTGCTGCGTTCGAATTTGTGGAAACATAGGAACAGAAACCAAGTCTTACCGTCTTATTTTTCTTATAGTTCAATAAATAAACCAAAGTCTATTTAAAATAATTTATTTTAAATTCACTTAATAAGTGGCATCTGTTATGTTTAATAGCATCCCCAGTCTAGTTCAGCAGCTGTATTTGTATTCTCATGTGTCTGTTCACTGCTAATAATGTACTATTTGTGCTGTAAAGGTTGCTTAATCCATCATCTACAGCTGAAGTGCTTCACGGCGAGTGTAAGCACATATTTGCTTGGTTTATTTGTACAACATGGTGTTTAGTTTTTCCAGCATTAGTCTCTGTGGTTCTTTAGAAATCTTGACACTAAATCGAGCACCAGCACCAGATTGTTTATTTATAATCGTAATATTCCTGCTGAAAGCAAACCTTGCTCTGCCAGACTTCAAAAAAAAAAATCCGATCAGTGGGATCTGTATTCTGTGTCTGCTCAGCTGCGAGGTTCAGTGAGCTCCCTGCTGCAGACGGTAGCTAGAGATGAGGATATGTCCTGGGCCAGGCGGGAGCAGCAGGCACTGGGCAGAGTCCCTTCTAGAGGTGGGAGGTGTGCTGTTCTAATTATAAGAGCTGTGTATTAGTATGTGATTATTTGATAACTTTTGATGCCAGAGAAGATTAGAAGTATTCATTTTTGCATGTTTATATGCATTCATTCATGCATGCCTAAAATATTCCTATTAATATTCTTTTAATCTTTTTCCTCTCTCTGTTTCTCCTTCATCTTTCCTCTCCCTCCAGCACCGTCTCCCCTCCCCAGCCGCTCTCGCTCCAGTTCAGTGGGGGAATCTTTAGGCCTGGGAGGAGGGAGAGTCATGAGAGCGCTGGTTTCTCATCCCTCCTCATCCAACCCAAAGCTCCTGCCTTTCAACAGGGGCGAGACTGTTATCGTCCTGGTCCAGGAGCCACGCAACGGGTGGCTGTATGGGCGCACTGACAGCAGCCTGCGGTGGGAAATAAACATTTACGTGCATGCACCATTTTTGAAACGCTCCGTCTTTACAGTGTTCAGTTATCATCTGCACCCAATCTTAAAATTGATGGCCTTATAAAAAAAGGTCTCTCACAGGGTTTGTCCAATAAAGGGGTAAAGATGCCAACCTTTTACCACTTTGAGCTCCTAGATCAAGTCACAAATTTGTTTTGCTCATGATACTATTTAAAAAAAAATACAATTATTACTGTAAAACATAATAATAGTAACTCAAAAGACCAGAAACCAGTAAAACAAACAGAAACTCTGATGTGATTGTGGCACATCACATCCGTCTCTCATGAAATCTCCCTCAGGGTTCCTCAGATTATCAGCTTTGGGTTAGTTCGCATCGTCGTGCGATGCTAAGCCCGAACCATCTAACCATCAGTGTTAGGATTATGAGGGAAAAGATTATTATGTGGGAAAAGGTTGAGAACCTGTGATTTAAAGGATTGCTCTCGTGTTTGGTTGACAGACTACACAAGCGCTAAAAAAAACACAAGACTGAGAATTACAGAGTCTGTTGCTGGAATTAGTTTTTTGCTTTATGTAAAGACAGGAAAACACATGATGTTTAATTGTCTGTCTTATCTCCTCCAGTCAAGGCTGGTTCCCTGCTGCGTACGTGGCCCCTATTGAGGATTTCTCCAATAATTTAGCAACAAGGTAGGCGACAGATACTAATCTCAAATCTGTATGCCAAAATGTTCTTTCTCTGGCATGACACTGGACACCAAGAAAAAAAGATATTGAGGCAAACCACAGGATCGAATCTGTATGATATGTGAATATTTAGGTTGCTGCTCTGGGAGAAGATGTTATTATTTTGTTATCCTTTAGTAAAATATTCCAGATATTTGTCCCACTATGAATCACTTAAAAGATTCTGCTCCTTTTGCCCCAACAGTGGCAGTTCTCTAAGAAGTCACAGTATGAACAATCTGAATGACAGTGACACCTACACCGACCAGTCAGAGAGCAAGAGTTTCGGAGACGTCCCACCCCCGGCCACACCCAATCGTAGAGCCTCCGTGGACTTCAGGCCTATCTCTCCACTCCCTGAGAAGAAGGGAGAAGAGGCGTTGGAGACGAAGCCGAGTCAAACAAGGAGCTACAATGAACATCCACTTCCTCCCCCACCGCCTCCCCCTCCACCAATTCAGAGTGCAAGGAGGAGTTCAGGAGATTTTCGGCCCATCTCTCCCCTACCTGACAGAAAGGGTGGATCAGCATCTGACGTCCAGGTTTGTTTAACTTTAATGAAAATTGTCTCTTTAACACAGAAAAATATGTGACACTTCAGTGCTAAGTGTGGATTTGTATTCATTTATTTATTTATTTGTATTTTTTGTAGGCATTATCACCACATGGACCCCCTGAAAACCCACTGTTTCCCAGGTAATTAGACATGAATTATGTATGCATTTATGGATTATTGTTATGTATTGTTCTGGGAAAAAAAATGCCAGTGCAGCACTGCTTTGCCAATTTACCATGATCCAATATATATGAATCCTATGAATTGTCTTCCCAGAAAACTTGATTTCACTTGAGAATCTGCAAGGAACATCTTTTTGAATCCCAATTCCCACTGCAAACAATAAACCCCGATCAAAGTTTACTTGAAACAAAGACCTCCACAGAGTGCTCATTGCACACTGTCAAAATGTACCACCCTCAGGCTGTGGTGTGATGTTAGTGTCTAAACCTACAGTGTGTGCACCTCTGTCTGAGTGGTTTATTGGTATTGGCAGAAAGCAGTTGAGTGCATGTGCTGTTGTATATCATTTTCCATCATCCTCTCATTTCAGAGGCACAAACCCATTCGCCACGGTAAAGCTTCGTCCCACGACGACCAATGACAGATCTGCTCCTCAGATCCATTAATCCATCGGCACTCGTGCATGCAGGGTTTGTTACTGATGCTGTGAGATCAGGTTGTGGAGGCAGGACATACATTTTTGTTAGTGAATGACGTGACATGTCTGAAATGTGAATGCTCTGAGCGAAATGGCCAGAAGGTTTGTACCGTTTTAAGATAACGTATCTCCCATACCAAAGAAGATACTGTAATACACATCGATTAATCAAATATTAAAACCATTAAGTTGATCATTAATTCAGACAGGCCACAAAGACAAGCTGAGCTGAGCAGTCTCAGCCCACATGAGCTCATCGACATCCCTTTCATAATTTTATATAAGGAACACTGATTAACCTTTGAGTGACTAATTTTTAGTTGTAAAAACTTCCTACTATGAACTTATCAATCCACAGTTATGGTAAATTGTAAGGTTTTATATATCAGGACAGAGTAAAACTAATCTGGACCTTTCTAGGTTTTAAAACTAGCTAAATACAGACCAGTTGAACTGCAAAACATGACATATTACACTGTGTCATAATTTCTTTAACAAAAATTAAGCAAAGCTACAGAAAAATGTGAAAAACTAAGCACACAGGTACTTTAATTAAGAGAGTATGTAGCAGCTAGTCGCTGCTGGTCAGATTGACTTGATTAACTAATCATCAGCTGGTGTGACCACCACTATATAAGCAGAATACAATGCCACAAACCTCTTAGGAGGGGATGCCCCAGGAAATTCACCCCAAAGTCAGACTTTGCAGAGCTCACACAATTACCAAAAAGCACAGAGCTACATCTACGAGCCTCAGTTAGCATGCTAAATTGTAAAGTTCTTGACAGTACAATCAGAAAAACACTGGACAGATATGGCTTATATAGAAGGGTTGCCAGAAGAAAGCCTCTTCTCTAAAAATAAAATATTGCAGCAGAGCTTAGATATGCAAAGTTACATCTGCACAAGACTCAAGACTTTGGGAACAACGAGTGGAGGTGGTTGACCATAATGCACAGCAGCAGGTTTGGAGAAAACCAAACAGCATATCGACACAAAACCCTCCTACCAACGGCACAGTGGCGACGGAGCGATGCTTTGGGCTTGTTTTGCAGCCACAGGACCTGGAAACCTTACAGTCAACCTTGAATTCCTCAGTCAAAGCACAGACCTCAACCCAAAATTCTGCGATCGGACCTTCAGAGAACTATGCATAAATTAAAGCTCACAAATCTCAATAAACTCAGGCAGCGTTACAAAGAAGAGTGGATCAAAGTTCCTCCACAACAATGTTGGCTGATAATGTCGCACAATTACTTCACGATATTGCTGCTAAAGGTGGTTCTATGGAATCATGTGATGTGCTTTGTTTTCAGACATTGCTTCAGTATTTTGGTTTAGTTTTTGTTACATAAATAATAGAAAGGTGTAATATGTCATGTTTTGTTACACATGACGAACTGTATTTATTTTATGTTAAAACCTACAAAGGACCAGATAAGTTTTGCTGCAGGCTTGCAAGCCACTTTGCAACCCGCCTCCACCCCATGGCCTTCTTTCTGTCTGTATCTCTTGTTATTAATGTTCACTCTGTTCTGTACCAGGATCCTGTTGCTCCATAGTGATGTGACGCCAAATATAAATTGCTACAATGTCCAAATCAGCCATCCTCCCCTGACTGAACTAAACTAAAATGGTTATTTTAACAAAACTTTGTACAGCAATTTGAGTTTGTATGTTAATATTTGTTTGAGTCTGTTGGTAAAAATATTCAGAGAATATTTAAACATTTTTGGAAGTATGCTTGCTGCCAGAAATTTGAAGAAAACACTGATGCTGCGCTGTTTTCGACAGCTACAGCAGCTGTTTGCTTAGCATCTTATTCATGTGTCAGCACCACGTTTTCAGTCTCTTTACTATGAAACCTGGCTGTTGGCAAAATATTTATATGTGTGTGTGAGCAAGCAACCTGAGAAAGAAGGCATGTTTTCCAAAATGTTAAGCTGAAGCTCTCTCCACCATCCCAGTGATTGACCTGTTTTGCGATGTTCAGTGTGTTGCATTTGTGTGAGTTCAATGTTGTGTGTTCACTGCGAGTAACAATAAGTAAAGAGACACCTCACGTCAAGTTTTCTTTTTTATTATCATTTCATACTGAGATCTTTTCTCTCTTCACAGCTCTCCTTATATGATTTTATTTACTACATGATCTGATCAGAGGCAGGGGGTGGTGGAGGAGGACGAGGTGGAGAAGGAGAAGGTGGTTGAGGTGAGGGAGGTGAATGAAGGTGGATAAAGAGGTGGAGTGGGAGGAAAGTGCACTGACATGTGAACATCTAGAAATAAAACCAGTCAAGACACAATGCAGGAAGGAAATTAAGATTTAAGGAGTCTTGAGAACATCTACACCATCTACAACACTAGTACCACCTTTTTTGACCACAGACTATCCTCGCGAAATCATTAAGAATGCTTCTGAAATCCATACAGCATGTGTGGTTAAATATATATATATATATCTATATATATAAAAAGAAAAATGAAAAGTGAAACTGGTGCCTGTTATGCCTGTATGTTCCTCCTCAGGTGGACTCCCTGTTGGCCTGTTTTTGGTAGTGTTTTGCAGAGAGCAGGCCTGGTCTGACTCTGTGTGAGGGGTCCAGAGCGAGGAAAGGGAGGAAGAGTTTGAAGGTCGCAGTTACAAAATGTGGATGCAGGGACAAAAAGGAGCAGGAAGAACAAGAGGGGAGTTCAGCTTTCCCCTACTCATGCACTAAGGCTTCAAACTCTGAAAAGAAAGAGAGCAAAACAAAAATGTAAATGCGCACAAATGAGTGAAACATTGTCAGCATATTCAGTTAAACACCAACAAGAAACTGATCCAAGTATTTCATGGTGTCTGGAACCTTGAACTGCGTTTTTCCTCTGGACCAAAACTTCTATATCATAAAACAAATCTTTCACCTTTAATACATCAACAGGCCACACTGTTGCTCCAGTTTTCTGCAAAGCAAGTTATCCAACATTTCTCACTCACCCACTCATTCTTGCACCTTTTTTTTTATGCCCAATTCCTTTCTATTTAACATTCACACGCCAATGTACACATCAGGAGGTCCACTATCTGGCCCAGCCACACTTTGGTGTATTTTATGGGATTCCTTATACACCAAGCACAAGCATTCATTCCACCTGTCATCCCTTGAAGTCGCTGAATGGTGTTACCATAGCTAACATTTCAGATATTGTGTTTTTATGATTATGTTAAAAAAACCCAAAGATTAATTGGCAGATTTAGTTTATGACATGTTTATTCCAGTAAACAAATTAGATATTTAAAAGTTGGTGTTAGCTTGCACAGGTGACATTACATTTTTTCTGAGCGTGTCTTTTCTTGCAAACTTGCAAATTTGCTTCGGTCATATTCAGTTTTTCAATAGAGGTGAACAATAAGAATCAAGTATTAGAAACATTTTGGTAAAATCTGAAAAATCCCACCCAACATACAGCATTTGTGGAAGTGCAGAAAACTTATTTTAGCCTACTTGCTAACTCTCCTCCCACCCCGTCCTCATCCTACGCTCATCGCCTCTTTGTATCTTTTTGAAGAATAAACTGAAAACATTTTGACACCTTTCACTTACCATCAATGCCGATCTTGCCATCTCCATCTTTGTCTGCAGCTGTGAGAAATGCTTTAGTCTCAGCGTCAGTCAGATCTCTGCCATCCTTGGAAAAGCCCTTCAGTACAAACCTGAGAAAAGTGCAGGTTGATGCAGAAAGTGGGTCACTGTAGGGCAGCTTTAAGGAGCATGTGACATCAGCGTTATATAGCAGAGCTGTATCTTTCATCATGTCTGCTTTTAGCGTGTTTTTTGCATCTGTTTGAGTTTCTTACTTTAGCTCTTCTTCTTCTATAAATCCGCTACCATCCACATCCAGAACCTGAAAGACCTTCTTGACGTTTTCAGCCGACATGGCCTTCATTCCCACCATTTCAAAGAACTTTTTAGGGTCAAATGTTTCTGCTACAAAAGACAAGGCAAAGATAAAAGATTTTATCACATCAACTCCATGTGCACAGATTTTTTTTTAAATAGATTTTTTATGGGTCAGCAAAAACTTTAAGGCTAACTTTTGGCACTTTGCAGCGCTGCTGAGAATAACACAGAGCCTCTACAACAGTTACTGACCTGCGAAGGCATCAAGAGCTTTCTTGATCTCCTCAGGTTTTAGCAGATCTGTCATAACCATTTTGTTTCCTGGAGATAGAGACAGAGAGGACATGAAAGGCGTAAAGTTTGGTATTGCATTTCAAAGAGGTGAGTGAGCAGCAGCTCTGCAGCTGAGCTGATGTGATACGAAAGCTGAAAGTAAAATCTAACTCGTTATGTGCACATGTGTTTGGAAATGTATTTTTAGTTAGACAGATGTTGCATTTTACAGAACAGTAAATTAAGAGAAGATGATCCATGCCAACAAACCCAAGGAGAATTTCAACCCTGACTGGCCTGGTAGGAATATCTTTAAGGCATTCGAGAGATGGCCTCTGTGGAACTTGGCACAACGAGAGGTTAATTGAAGGACATACGTTAGAATTTAAGACAGAGACATAAATACAGTCCTGCAAACGCCCATGGAGAGAGACAAGCTTTGTACACTGAAATAAGCACCCAGAATTGCTCTGGATTCTCCGTTATCTTAAAAGTATCACTCTGTCGGAGAGATTTAAACACTTCTGAGGAGAGACTTTCCTGCAATTTTTCTCTTTGACTACAATTTTGACAAATAGAACGTGTGAAACAGCGAAGCTGAGTTTGTCAAACAGTACTTTGACATCAGTTAAAGGACATGGTATATTTTACAGTTAAAGTAGTCATTGCACGATAAACTCTGATGGAATTTATGGTGT